TACAGGCTTGAGCCACTGCGCCCGGCCGGTTTATTATCTTAAAATGAAGTTCTGGCCGGGCGCGGTGGCTCAAGCCTGTAATCCCAGCACTTTTGGAGGCCTAGGAGAGTGGATCACATGAGGTTGGGAGTTCGAGACCAGCCTGGCCAATGTGGAACCCTGTCTCTACTAAAAATACAAAATTTTTACAGGCTTGGTGGCGCACCTGTAATTCCAGCTACTTGGGAGGCTGAGGCAGGAGAATCGCTTGAACCCGGGAGACAGAAGTTGCAGTGAGCCGAGATCGCGCCACTGCACTCCAGCCTGGGCAACTGAAAGTTCTTTCTCAAACCTAACTGAATAGAATCACCCCCTACCAGCCTGGCCCCCAACCCTGCTTTTTAAAAACGTCAGTTTTCTGAGTAATTCGGTCTACCAGCGCTTGCCACCACTCACTGCAGTTAATTTTTGTACGTATTTTATGTACAGAGGGAGTCTCGCCATGTTGCCCAAGTGTAATTACTCCTTTTATGAGGAACCTGAACTCTTTCAAAAACTTAAAGAGCACAAAGGGAAAATCAAGATGTGCAGTTGCTAGGAAGTGGGAACATAGTATCATCAATAGAAAGCTGCGGGAGTGATTGGGGTGGGACAAAGCTAAAGGAAAAGGTGAATTCAGATTGGGATCCTGGAGAAGCAGGCAAAAGATGGGAAAGCTGGCTGGGTGCCGTGACTCACGCCTATAATCCTAGCACTTTGGGAAGCCTAGAGGGGAGGATTGCTTGTTGCCAAGAGTTCAAGACCAACCGGATAAACATAGCAAGACCCCATTTCTTAAAAACTTAAATAAAAAGAAAAGGAAAAACAGAGATGGGAAAGCTTACAATTTTTGAGGAAAAATACAGCGTAAGGAAAAAGACATAAATGGAAACAAACTAGCTGGGATGGAGGAACTTTACTGAAAAGTTTTGAATGCCAGGCTAAGAGATGTAGAACGGCCCTCATAATATTTTGCCACTGATTTCTCAAGCAAAAACTTCTTAGCCTTCCCTTCTCACCAGTTGTGTGGATTTTGACTTTCTGGTTTGACTCATTCGTCATTTTCTTTCCCCAGTGTGAAGTAACGTTTGGAGAAACAAACATTTGTTGACTTATCAAAGAATTGTAAGGCAGGGGCTCCTGTAGTCCCAGCTACTCCAGAAGCTGAGGCAGGAGGATTGCTTGAGCCCAGGAGTTCACGACTGTAGTGTGAGTGCACTCTTGTTGTGCCTGTGAATAAGCACTGCATTCTAATCTAGGTAGCATAGGGAGACCGTGTCTCTAAAACAAAATAAAAATGTAGGAAAGATATTGCATGAGCTGCCTTAAGGCCTTTAGTGTGGTAGGTTTATTTCACAAGTAAGAATAGATCAGAATTATCTTTGTTGGATTATGCAATTACTGAATGGTGGAGAGGAGCAGAGGAGCCTGAAGCACATCTTTTTAGTGCAGTGTTCTTTAATAATAGATTATTTACTAGTCTTACTAGTCTTACTAGAAATGGAGGGACTTACGGTAGTTCATTTTCCAATTTAAAATCCTTATCTTCCCATTTCAACAAGTGTAGCTTTAAAAAAAAAAAAAAATCCTCATCTGATTGGGTATAAGTATTGGTAAGGTTCTTGAGGACTGAGAGGGCAAAGGAAAGGGAACCTAGTCCTTAGCAAGGCAGAGTGTTCTAGGTGTACAGGGCCAGATGGCAGAAGACCACAGTTAGCGAGGACCAAGATGACGTCAGAAGCTGTGTAAATGAAAAGCAGTTGTAGGCTCAGGATGGTTTGTCTTTTAAAACGATCTGATCTTAGGGCCGGCGCGGTGGCTCACGCCTGTTAATCCCAGCACTTGGGGAGGCCAAGGTGGTGGATCACCCGAGGTCAGGAGTTCAAAACCAGCCTGGCCAATAGGGGGAAACCCTGTCTCTACTAAAAATACAAAATTAGCAGGGCATGGTGCAGCTTGTAATCCCAGCTACTTGAAAGGCTGAGGCAGGAGAATCACTTGAACCTGTGAAGCAGAGGCTACAGTGAGCCAGAATCATACCACTGCATTCCAGTCTGGACCACAGAGTAAAACTCTCAAAAACAAAAAAAAATCTGGTCTGGGGTCAGCCCCATCACCTCATTCTATGTGCATAACAGTCATATCCTAGGGTTGGAGCCACTTCCTCTACATTGTCACTTATGCTGACAGTAAAGATAATCAAGTACCAGGTTGTAAGGTATCCTATTTCATTTTTCTCTATTTTCCCCTCATCCCCAACTCTCCTATTTCAGACCTTCTGGTGGCATGTCTGTGAGAGGTATGTGATGTCTAATGACATTTCTCTGCCCCTATCTTGGAAGTACAAAATGAATGTCCTTTTTTTTTTTTTTTGAGATGGAGTTTCATTCTTGTTGCCCAGGCTGGAGTGTAATGGCAAGATCTCGGCTCACCCAAACCTCTGCCTCCCGGGTTCAAGCATTTCTCCTGCCAAAATAGCTGGGATTACAGGCATGCGCCACCACGCCCAGCTAATTTTGTATTTTTAGTAGAGAGGGTTTCTCTATGTGGGTCAGGCTGGTTTCAAACTCCTGACCTCAGGTAATCCGACTGCCTCAGCCTTCTAAAGTGCTGGGATTACAGGCATGAGCCACTGCACCTGGCCTAAAATGAACATCTTGTAGGTAACATCCAGACCCTGTAGTGAGTTAGCTAGTGAGATGAAATGTTGAATTTGGGAAAAGAAATGTCTAACATATACCTTTACTATTGTCTTACATATATCTTCACTCTATTTTTTTCTGACTTCTCCCTTTAAATCTTTTTCTGTATGATTTGTTTTGGTACATATAGATGGGTCTTCTGGCCATGGTTGTTGAGATGTTTACATTATTGAAATATATCAAAAGATAGCTGTTACTTAATGGTAAAACAAATTTCCAAAAGACTCAGTTTTAATTTCCCCTATTCCTAAAGTGTAGATAACACGATAACACAAAAACAAGAATGTTGTTTTTAGAAAAGTAGCTATTTTGTGGCTGGACGCGGCAGCTCACACCTGTAATCCCAGCACTTTGGGAGGCCAAGGCAGGTGGTGCACCTGAGATGAGGAGTTCAAGACCAGCCTGGCCAACATGGCGAAGCCCAGTCTCTGCTAAATATACAAAAATTAGCTGGGCGTGGTGGCTGGTGCATGTAATCTGAGCTACTTGGGAGGCAGAGGCAGGAGAATAGCTTGAACTTGAAACTGGGAGGTGGAGGTTGCAGTGAGCTGAGATCGAGCCATTGCACTCCAGCCTGGGTAACAAGAGCAAGGCTCCGTCTCAAAAAATAAATAAGGAGCTATTTTGACAAAGAACAAAAAATTTGTGGTACAGCATTATTTATAGAACCACTTTTTTTTTTTTTTTTGAGGTGCAGCCTCGCTCTGTTGCCAGACTGGAGTGCAGTGGCGCAATATCGGCTCACTGCCAACCTCTGCCTCCCAGGT